TGTGTGTGTGTGTGTGTGGGTGGGGGGGGGGCGCTCTGCCATGAGGAAGTTCGGCTTAAAAACCCATCCCAGAAGAGGCGTTTCTGCTCCCAAAAGGCGTTTCTGGTCCCCACCTGTCGTTTTGCTCCTCAGCATGGCTTCCTAAAAATGCTGCAGGATTTCTCAAACATGCATGAATGAGTCAAAGCAAGGCTTTGGGCATGTTTTTATGAGAGTATAACATTATAAAATGATATAAAACTCAAAAAAGTTGATTTTACATGATGTTGCCCCTTTAAGAAAACTGGTGTGGTGGATTTAGAACAGCAGAAAGTAATGCAATAATAATAGAACTAAAACTATTGTCTGCATTTACTCCGAAAGGGCCTCTGCCATGTTGATCGCATCAATGTCAGAAAGAGCATCAAATCTGGAGATGCACATGTTGGTGATGATGACAGAACATCAGTAAGTCAAGGTAAAACAAACAAACTCAAATTGTTAAATTGAAAATACAATAAATATTTGGTGTCAAACTTAATTCGTAGCTTGGGTGTAAAAAGTGGGAAAAAAACAAATCTCAGATTTGAATATTGTAAGGTTTTTCCTGTATTCAATTTGTTTTAGAAAGGAATCAAAACAAAACTCACTGACTTTTAAACTTTTGCACATATTTTGCACATCACTTGGCTGTACAGGTTAGCAATTTGCTGATAAGAAAACATGAATAAGAATTATAATAAAATGTATTCACATAAGCACATTTAAAAATGAATGACCGATCTCTGCAACAAATGTTGAACACTTTTGGTAAAAACTTAAACTATTCTGAATAAACAAATAAAGATAATTGTGTGCTTGGATATTATTACAAAATTGCTTTATTAGATGAAATTCTTAGGTGGGAAAGGGGATTGTTTTTCCACCTAAACTGACAAAAAACAAATAATGTTTTACTCAAATTATTATTATTATTATTATTATTATTATTATTATTATTATTATTAGTTTTTTAATCTGTTTGACATACTGTCTCTTACATATATTTTAGATTTAAACATCAAATGCCTACTTTTGGAACAAAACCTGGAGCTCAGATGTCAGTAAAGATGTCTGATGCTCAGTACATGCGTGTGCTGCTTCTCAAGCATATAAAGCCCAATCAAATCAGAGTCCTACACACAAGAAGAAGAAAAGAAAAATAGCAAGGAAATTCAACAGGGAATGAAAAGCAATTTTGTCTGAGACGATCCAACTTGACTCCGATTGTAATGACTGAGTCAAATTAATCATCACAAATAATATTCTGGTGTCAGCCATTCAAGGGTTTTTTAATAGAATTTTTATGATTCATGTCTAGCAGTATACATCAAACAGTCAGTTCTGCAACATTTCTGAAATCAATTCAATATCATCTTTGTGTAGGCTGTCATCCTCGGCAGCAGAGTGGTCATTTATCTCTCAAACAGATACTTTTAGAAAATAAAGGGGCACAGAGAGATGGAGGAAAGGAGAAGGGATGCAGGGTCCATTTTTTTCTTGTTTCTTTTAACCTTGTTTCAGTAAAAAAATGTGAGCAAAAAGGCTACTTTTGTCTTCATTTTTTATTAATATTATTATGAATTCTAGATTTGTTAAGCCATGAAAAAAGATTTTAATACGACACAAAACATTTCAGCTGCTTGGAATTAAAAGCACAAGAATATCTTACAGCAAACAAACTTCAATCAACATCAGAAATAATAAATGTGAATTAAAACATCTAATAATTATGTTTGCTAAAAGTTGAAGTGAAAGCAGCCTCAAGTACTCAGATAAGCTACTTATTTCATTTAAAATCTTGTTTCCCCACTTTTCAGCAGGTTTAAAACACACTTAATTTTTTTACGTGAATGATGGAATAAATTCAGAATAATTTTTATGAAGTTATTATGTCCACTCTAACAAACAATTATAACAGCCTAGAAGCAAATCTTTGCAAAAACAGGAAGTAGTCACATCGATTTTGCCAAATGTTAAACAACATAATAAAACATTGAAAAGAGAAGTGTTAATTCCTTAACTTGATTTACTTTTTCCGAACATAGCCTGAGAGCAAGCTGCTATTCATTTTCTGGGCTGTCCTTTGAAGACAGATGTTTTTGTAAACCTTTGGGGACGGTGGTATTGTGTGCTCTAATGGACAAGAAAACGAACATTTCCTGAGATTCAATTCCCCTCATAATTGTTGGAAGGAAACGAAGTTGTCTGCTGTAAACACTGGCGGCATTGTGCGAGGTGAGTCCCTGTGCGTGTCCCTTTAAGCCATCGCGTACTAAACTTAGTTTGTGAAAAGACCCCTGTGTAATCTAAAGAATGTCATGTTGAGTCATCACGTGGCGTGTTCATCAATCTGCTGCTTCCTCTGACTTTATCAATAAACATTTAGGCTACAGAAACATTTTCCCCGGTACCCTTCCACTGCATTTGATTGTGCGAAGGGACAAGGCTGGGGATATGTCATGTGTTAGATTGCTGTGACGGCTCATCCAGCGCCCTTGATGATAAAATGTAAATACCAAGGACATTCCCAGTTGGATTGTGGCAAGATAAATTATTCATATGCCACTGTTCAGAATGAAATTGCAAGTACAGAACTGCATGGCTTATGTATACTCTCCTTTAAAAGTAAAATGCAAAGAAAAGGCAATGCATTTGATGGATCGTATAGATCAGCAGTCAACATAGCATGAACATGTTTTTTTTAAAGAAATATTTTTTTTCTTTATGTATTTCCTGGTACTTGACATTGCTTTATGTTTAAGTCCAAACCTCTTCAGATAGCTTCAAAAAGCAAACACGTAATTTTAGCACAAACGATTTTTCATTAACCTTGTCCGCTCTACACAGCACACTATGGGGAACTTTCATTTTCCTCTCCCAACACACAGTATGCTGTCTGCACAGTTAACAAAACACAATCTGTAACATTTTTAATTAAGAGACAGATCTCTCCACTGCAAGTGTTGCATACCAGCACACCTTTCATTTCGAGAGAAACAGATGAATAGACAGTTGGTCTGGGAATGAGAGAGAGGGAGAGTGAGAGAGAGAGTGAGAGAACGAAAGAGAGAGATAGAGAGAGAGAAAAAAAAACATTGATTGGGGAGCGTTCCAGCTTGTCTTTTACTTGGCACAGAACTCCAACTCCTTCTGTAACACTGCCTGAGTACTCAAGGCCTTCTGGAGATGATATTGACTGTGTCTAATGGCTCATTATCTGTATATTCTTCTTCTTATTAGATTATTGCTGTGGTGCCTGTAGAAATCAGGATTTGAAACATCATTTTGCACATATTAAATCATATATCCATTCTAAAAATGTTCTGCTGTCAAATAAAATTAATTTGCGCAGTAAAAAGCTGCATGCCTCTTCGTCTAAGTCTGCCTTTTGGTATGCTGTTGCTGTTCTGTGACCTGTAAACTGAATGTTCTCTTCATCTATTTTATTTTATTTTTTCCTTCGTTTTCAGTCCAAGCTATTTTTCTTAGATCTGCGGTATAAATTTGTGTTGATGCAGAATAAATTCTTAACAAATAAAGTTTCAGTTGTTGACTTGTTCCACATAAAACAAGCATAAATACAGCATTACTTTTTAACTGATGAGCCACAAAGTTGATATTTATTCTAGTGAGACATAAACACCACAATAAGCAGATTCAGCTCGTCGTGTTTGGAGTTCTCCGAAGTCTACGTTGCTCTCAGGGAGAGGGTCCCAGTGGCTCGAAAGCAGAGGCTGACATATCTGTCTTACCGCT